CTAGTAAAGCAACCAAAATGCTGGCTTGCATCCATAGATGCTTCTCAAGCAAATCCCGGGACGTCATTCTCCCATTGTACTCGGCCTTGGTGAGGCCACAGCTGGAGTACTGCGTCCAGTTTTGGGCCCTACAATTCAAAAAGGATGTGGAGAAGCTTGAGAGAGTCCAGAGAAGAGCCACGCGCATGATCAGAGGTCAGGAAAACAGACCTTATGACAACAGGCTGAGAGCTATGGGGCTCTTTAGCCTGGAAAAGCACAGGCTCAGGGGTGATCTGGTGGCCACCTATAAGTTTATCAGGGGTGACCACCAGTATCTGGGGGAACGTTTGTTCACCAGAGTGCTCCAAGGGATGACGAGGTTGAACAGTTACAAACTACTGTTTCAGGCTGGACATGAAGAATTTCTTTACTGTCCGAGCCCCCAAGGCCTGGAATAGCCTGCCATCGGAGGTGGTTCAAGCACCTACATTGAACACCTTTAAGAGAAAATTGGATGCTTATCTTGCTGGGATCCTATGACCCCAGTTGACTTCCTTCCCTTCGGGCAGGGAGCTGGGCTCGATGATCTTCCGAGGTCCCTTCCAGCCCTAATGTCTATGAAATCTCTGAAATCTTTAATCTGCTAAATTCAGCTTCTTCCTGCCTAAAAGGGGAGGGAGTAAGGGCAATAATGCCAGTATGTCTGTTCAGCCACTACTTTCCCCCTGTTGGCAACCCACAGTAGTCTATCCCCATCTATTTTATGCACAGAAATTCACTAGAAATTCACAGGAATGAAGTGCCATGCCTCATATTTAAATCTGTCATTACTGAGACCATGGACAGCTCTAGTTTTGCAGGTCACTAGCTGCAAATTAAGATTTGGGCTCGCTCAATAAAAGTTTGATAGTTTATATAGTTGGTGAAGTTGCCCACATTTTGTTGGATTCCTCTGACTTCAGTTACTGGAATAAGTGCAGCTGCATGTCCCTCTCACCTTGTATTTCTGGGTGTGCCATCATGTAGAGGATAGACCACAATAAAGAGATTGTGGTGGTGTCTGAACCTGCTATGAAGAGGTCAGTAATCACTTGGATCATGTTGGTCTCTTTAAATGTAGATGTGGGGTTATCCTTGGTCTGTAGAGGGGAGATGGAGAATGTGAGTTAGGACTGCGATTGGGTAGCACTGTAACCTGTCTGAAGAATTTTACCTAAAAAAATGCCTGTTGAGATGACAGAGTTGGAAGACATGACGCTGGGAAGCTGAAGGCATGGCTGATGGTCTTGTATATTTATAAATGACATTGTCTTGTTAATGCAGGAAGGAAAGAGGGAGAGTTTGTGTGCTGAGCACTGCTCTCTTTTTCCCCCTTCTTTTTAAGATACATATGGAGTAACGGTGTATCTCTGGTGGGTACCAGCCAAAGAAAGACCTCACTAATTAAAAAATCTATCCCTTTTCTTTTTATGTCAAAACGAAGCAGCCACTCAGAAGGGAATCTGCAATATCTAGATATGAGCAAATTAAGTATTTAATGTTGGCAGCTAGGATCTGGAACCAACTTCCAAGGGAAGCTGGCTCCTACCTTGGGGGTCTTTAAGAGGAGGCTTGATGATTATCTGGCTGGGGTCATTTGAGCCCAGTTTTCTCTCCTGCCAGGGCAGGGGGTCAGACTAGAAGATCTGCAAGGTCCCTTCCAACCCTATATCTATGAATCCATTATGTAGCTATATGGTAGGGGTGCACTGATAGAGATTTTGGGGGCTGATACCAATTTTTAAGGAGGCATATTGGCCGATACTGATCCAATTTCCGATACAGCTATGTCCAGCAAGTAAGTCTGTTGTGGTGGAAGGGGAGGAGGAAGGCAAGGGGCATGGGGGTGCAGATCAAGGCCCACTACAGTGAGGGAGGGAGTGGGGCTGGGGCAAGCGCTGCCCAGCTGAGACAGCATGGGTATGGAATGGAGCTGCAGCTTGTCCGGGGGGGCACGGGGATGGGGAGCGGCCCCCACTGTTGCGCGCTGCTCATCCAGGAGCCACTCATCTGGCAGCTCATCTGGCACTCGCCTGCTTGTCTGGTGACTCCCGCTGCTGTTCCTGCTGCTTGTCTGGGCG